AACCCTCACCCGGACAAAGTCTGGCCTCATCTTCAGCTTGAACCTCGTGTGCTCCAGCTTGGGACCATTGCCCCTTGTCCTGGCATTGGCCAGCCCAGAGCAGAGCCTGGCTCCTTCCTCCTGACACTGCCCTTTCCCAATGGATCCCCAGGAATGAGGGCACCCCTCAGTCTCCTCTGCTCCAAGCTCAAGAGCCCCAGCTCCCTCAGCCGCTCCTCAGCAGGAGATGCTCCACAACGGGGCCCTTGATCTTGTTGCTGTTCTTTACCAAAATCCTACAGATAATCAGCTGTGGATGAGTCCTCTGGGGGGATGTGGAGATGAAGATCGCTGGTCGTCAGCTCGAGCCAGCACAACGCCACCTCCAGCGGCTCCGCGGCGCAGAAAAGGGAAGGGAGGTTACTGAGGTGACTCAGGCTTCAGCACTCAAAGGAATCTCTACCCCTCACGAATTTCAGCGAGTCCTGTAGCACCCCCGCAACGTCTGGCTAATTAGAGCATCTCTGAGAGACACATCCGATGCTGAGGGCTATTTTGGGAGCTCAAATGAGCTCTTGCAGGCTCCAGGCTGAAATCTGAACGTCGTAATGCTGTGAGAGGGAGGAAGATGTTTGATGCAGGGCACGTTTTCAAAGTACTTGTAGCATATACAGTTATTTCCATCTATCAAGATTTACATTCCCCCATAACATTAAAATCTCTCACATCCACATGCAACAAATGCAATGCACAAGCAAGCCGTGTTACTCCAAAGGCAGTGTCACAAGATCCACTTCTACTGGTAAAAAACTGCATCATAATAGATGATCTCTATCAAATCTTTTCCACTTGATATAAAAGCTGTGCCTATTAAGAAAGAAATGGGAAAGATTTGTACAGCGCCATATAAATTGATGTTCCAATTACACTGTAAACGAAGATGCGTTCGATAAACAGGCCACAAATCCAGACACGTTATGATTTCCCCTCGCAGAAAACTACTGATCCAATTTTCAAGTTAAAGTCAAAGAATTGAGGGTAATCTCGCTCTGCTGGAGCGTTTCCACATGCCGCCGCTTTCTTCTTCCTAATACTTTTAAGATAAGAGAAGCTCATTTGGTAGCTTTACAATTCCGTATAAAAATAAGACTTAACGTCCTTCGATGCCCTACGCCCGGGGCTTTTCATGGCTGCTTTTTGAAGCCATTAAGACTTCTTCAGCCTTCCAAGAGTTGATTTCTTTGTTCTTTTATTTATGGAGCTCAGACTTTCAGCGATCTCCAGACTGGAGAGGAAGCGATTCGCCCTCCCCAAAGGAAACGCTTACGGCCGCTGCCTTTGGGCCTGGGGGGAGACGCGTCCTTGCTGTGTAAGCAGGTCACTCCACCGCCGCGTGATCATCTCCCCAACCAAGGCGCCGCTCCCTTTACCAGCGCTCATTAAGTGCGTTTATTAAGGTATTTATCTGACAATGAGCAAGTAAGGGGCCAGGGCAGCCGCCAGAGGGAGCCCTGCCACTGCAGTGCTGACCAGGGTGCACCCAAGGGTGCTGGGGGTCCATCGCCCCCCCTCTGAGGGCTCAGGGTGCTCCCTCGTTGACAGCGGGGGTGCAGCTAAAGCTGGGTGTCCCGGCCAGGCTGACTGAGCTGGCCCTGGCACCGACTTCAGACAAAAAGCCATAAAATCCCAAGGGCCAGATCACATTTCTGAGCCTGTGGCTTGGGGACTGGACGGGGTAGCAGCAGCACAGCGGAGCTGGGATGCATCTGCTCTAAAATCCACAGTCTCTAATTTTAATGCATTATGGACTCGTATAGGAATTCCTACCGAGCCATCCCTTGGGCTGCTCTATTTGTAGAGCACGGGGCAACAACTCCAATGCTACCTCGCTGCTGAGAGCGCTCTTGTGAAGGCCAGCATCTCAGTCAGAAACCAGCTCCAAGGAACATCTCCTCACTGCATTTCCCCCTCCTCAATCACAGAATCACAGAACATGAGGAGTCGGAAGGGACCTGGAAAGCTCCCCCAGTGCAACCCCTGCCAGAGCAGGAGCACCAGAGCAGTCACACAGGAACACGGCCAGGGCTTTGGGTGTCTGCAGAGAAGGAGACTCCACAACCTCTCTGGGCAGCCTGGGCCATGCTCCATAACCCTCACACTGACAAAGTTTGGCCTCATCTTCAGCTTGAACCTCCTGTGCTCCAGCTTGGGACCATTGCCCCTTGTCCTGGCATTGGCCATCCCAGAGCAGAGCCTGGCTCCTTCCTCCTGACACTGCCCTTTCCCAATGGATCCCCAGGAATGAGGGCACCCCTCAGTCTCCTCTGCTCCAAGCTCAAGAGCCCCAGCTCCCTCAGCCGCTCCTCAGCAGGAGATGCTCCACTCCCTCCATCACTTTGTGGCCCTGCTGGACTCTTTCAAGCAGTTCCTGTCGTTCTGGAGCTGAGGGCCCAGCACTGGACACAAGATTGCAGCTGTGGTGTGAGCAGGGCAGAGCAGAGGGGCAGGAGAACCTCTCTGCCCTACAACCACCCCTTCTCATCCACCCCAGGATGGCGTTGGCCTTCTTGGCTCAAGGGCACATTGCTGGCTCATGGGCATTGCTGCCACCAACACCCCAGGTCCTTTCCAGCCACTCGTCCCCAAGCCTGTAAACCCTCAAACCCACTTAAAGCTCCTTCCCCATGGGATCTCAGTGGGAGAGCTCCACACAAGTACGCACCAAAGCCTCCCCCATGCAGCGACATCTGCGAGAGCCGCACTCATGTAACCGGCCTTTCGCAAGCGTCATTTATTTATAAAATATAGAAAGATCGGCTTCGATGTAGCAGCTCAGATGGTGCCGCCCCCCACCTCCCACACGCAACGCAATAGCAGCTTGCAAAAAAAATAAATCAACAAACTCACCCGGCGCGCGCTGCCCCTGCTCGTCCTCGCCCAAGCGGCTCACGGCGCGGTGCTCTCGGCTCCTGCAAACGGAAGACATTTGTGAGTCCCCTTCACGTGGGCACAAACGGGAGACAAAAAAAAAATAAAAGAAGAGAATCCTGCATGCAATTACACAGGAAGGAAAACATGCAACTTAAGCTGAGCTCGGAACGTTTCACAGTCAATAGCAATAGTGGGGTCTAAAAAGGGCCATCATTTTACAGGTTTTAAATAACTGAGCAGAATTTTCTCTGTTTTGTTGGCAGTAGCAGGACTAGCTATATTCGTTGTCAGTTTACGTCTTTCGGTATTTAAGCTCGCCGATTCCTTTTTTGCCCACATTACATTACAGTGCATTCTCAAAGGGCACAGTATTAAAAAGTTATCGCTAATTTATGCAGCAGCATGTGGTCTTTTTTAAAAAAAAAAATAAAATCTTTATTTTAAAGCTTTTTTTCTTTGCAATTTTTTTTTTTTTTACATTAAAATTAACACGTGAAGAACTGTTTCAATCAAGTTTATGCAAGTTGCCGTCACAGTTTATGTAAAAGAGAAATGTGCTATTAAAATCAGACATTTAGGTTACCTTTTGGGTTTTGCGATGCATGTTAGCTTTACACATCCTGATTCTCCTGCGATAATTTTCCTTTAAAAGGGGGGCATGGGGTGATCTTTTCATCAAGCAAGACATTATGCCCTGAAAGCTGACTCCAAACCGTTGTTGAAAATTCAGTTATTTACACTTTAATAACAATCTCCAAAGACAACTTGTTGTTTTAAAGTACTCCCCTCGATCATGCACTGCTACGAGCAGTTGGCTTCCTAATGCTCTATTTTTCACCCCCGAGCAGTTTAATTCTCTCCCCCTGGCACGTCAAGATTCATTTTGCAGCTGGGAAATCCACACCGTTTTTCACGTCTAAGAAGCAATTTACTTTACTACATGATCTATTGATACATGTACCCATACACAACCTCTCGGAAGGATACGAGGAGCGACTGCAGCACCCTTTGCAAACGGAGATACAGGGGTTTTTTTTTTAAAGTGGCTTTCCAAGTCAAGGCTACCATAAAATAGGAAGGGCATCGTCTCAGCCGAGGGGTTGGGGGTGTTTAAAGCTTCCTCGCATCTGTCAGCGTTCGTTCTGTTTAAATCAGCCCTTGCAGACTCAAACCTGGGGTCTGCAGCTCTGCGCGGCCACCTGAAAATCGGGAATTCAGCAAGGAACCACCAACACTGAAGTCACTTTTCTGCCACAGCCCAGGATCAAAGGCTTTTATAAGAACTTCCAGGGGGTGAAAAACAAGTTCTCTTTCTTTTCTCTCGCTTTTTTAAAAAAAATTTAAGCTCAATGAGCTTGAGAAACCTTTTTTTTTTTTGTGAGAATTACATAAAAAAAAACCCCCACCGACTTTTTTAGGATGCCTTCACGTTTTAAAAAGACAATTAGCTTTAGCGTTAATTTAAAGTCTATTTGGGAAAAAAAAAAATAAATAAAAAAAATAAAGTAGCTCTTTTAGCGCTCAACCGGAAAAAAATAAAATAAAATGACAATTCATCACATTTACTTTGATTAAAAAAGGACTAAACTTTATTGACAAACTGCGGCAGACATTTTGACAAGTTTTAGCTACCTATTTAGGCAGACTTACACACGTAGCATTTAAATCTTCAAGAACAGTGGGAGGACAATGTACAAATCCAATTAGGACTTTAGCCTATGTACAAAGTGAAATTTTTCCTCATTTTTTTGTTGTTTTTTTGGTTTTTTTGTTTTTTTTTTTTTTCAGCTGCAGTGTCCCTTTTTATGCAGAGCTTGTGTTGAGATACACTTGAACAAGTCGGCGGGGTCGCTAGCGGTGAACCTGGCCAGGTTTTTAAGCTCGCGCCGCATTTATCTGCCCCAAGCGCTACAGAAATGAGCTGGAATTTGTTTTGACAGAGTTCAGACCTAAGCGTTTACCACTCTGGTTTCTCACACCAAACGCTGGGCAATTAGAGCCAGGCTTTTAATTTGGTTTGCCTTTAAAAGGTTCTTCCCGCAGAACCAAACTAAGAACCCCTTTTACACTGGAAAAAAAATCCGCTTCCCAAGCATCTCTCAACACCGCACGTTCGGGGCTAGATTTCAAAACCCACGTAAGAAAAGTCAATTTTACAAACCTAATTTTTTTTCTTTTTTTTTTTTTTAAAGTCAATTACCTTTAAAAATGCTATTTAATTTGTTTGTGGGTCCTTCGTATTAAAATTTAATCTTAAGATTCACCAGCAATCTGCTTTTAAGGAAAGTTTGACAGCTGAGGTTACTTTTAAACGGTGGCAGCTACTACCGTTACATTATGATTTTTAACGCTTAAAAACAGCCCTGAATTTTGAAATGTAGCCTACTTTGGGATTCTGCAACTACAACTTTTATGGGTTCCTTGAAACCCAACTTAAAAGGTTAACAAAACCTTAATCTCAGAACTGCTAAGCAAAGCATGTCACTTTTGAAACTAACAGTTTTTAACTCAACTTCTTCTTTTGTTTGTTTTTATTTAAAAAGGTACAGTTGTGTTTACCTAAACAACAAAGAAAGAAAAGCCATCTACACACTTAAAAAAAAAAGAAAATTAAAAGTCGCTCCTCTAAATCTAATTTAAACTCATTTTTAAAATACTACGTACAGAAGCCAGAATGCAGGGTGAGGATGGAGTGGGAGAAAAAGGGCCACGAAGAAAAACAGTTAGACAATTACTTGTCTGGTGTGGGTAAAGCAACGGGAATCCCGGGAGATACAAGAATCAGTAACAACTGTTTGCTCATAACTGATATTTTTCCCTCATGTTTGTTTTTTAATAACGTCCGTATGGGTGCTCTCTGTAGGCCCCCTTCACTGGCCTGGCCGGCGGGGCCTTCAGGGAGGGCCTGGTTCCGTTCCAGTCATCTTGGCCTGCAAAAAGAGAGGGAAATGTCAGGGATGTTGGAGCGCTGCGAGCCCAGGGCTCCCCTCTGGGATCACGGGGTGTCCTCATAGAGGTTTCACCCCAAAACCGGTCTGCAAAATGCCCCGTGGTCCAGCAAACCTCTCATTCATAGCACATCTTCTGGCATTTCTGGGAAAAGCCACTTGTGTGGGCATCTCTGTGATGCCTGCAGCCTGGCTAAGTGCTGACTTGGACAAACCTGGTGCTGTTTAGGAGTAATTAATCTCAGCAGAGCCAAAGCCAATTGATGGAGCAGCTCTGGCAGCTGGCCCTGGTGAAGGTCACCACAGTCACGGCCCCTTGGGCTGGGGGCCAGCACCATCCACAACCTTGGGGTCTGGCTTTGGGGACTGCTACAGGTAACACTTCTCCCCTTCCTAGCAAGGCAAGGCAGCTCCTGGATAACTGTGCCAAAATAAGTACATCCCTACACTGCTCTGGGTCAGGACTCCACTTCCAGACCCTGGGCTGTGACTTGCTGCTCCTTCCTCTCTGTGAATACAGCAATATTTACATCTGCTCACCTCTCTGGAGCAGACATCACTGCTAACACTGGACCAGCATCAACTGCTGATGGGATAGAGCACTCAACCCAACCCAAACCCTTCTGCTATGCACCAACACCAAAGCAAATGGAGTTCGCATCTCCACCGTCCCCAAGCTTGCTCAAGTCCCACATATCCAAAACTCAGCTTTCAGGATGGCTTGTCCTTGCAGCATCCACACTTGCACGCCTGCCCTTCTCTCCAGGGTCACCAGTTTACGAGAGCAAGTGTCCAAAGCCCTCAAGACAGCCAAGTCTGTTCCTACCACCGTGAACCCAAACTGCCTCCAGTCCGGCTCAACAATCTATTTCTCTAATTCTGTTTTCATGAAAGCAGAGACCAAAGGAAATCACTGTGGATAAACAGATTAGCTGTGGCAACTTCATGCCAAGGATACAATGAGCATTTTGGCCTTCACATCCCAGACAACACCACCGCTCTCCTACCAAGTAGGAGGCACAAAAGCCTCTTTGTGCTGCGTGACTAACACAGGCAACAAACCGAGCCATTGAAGGCAGGAAAGACAGCCAAGGTTACTGACAGCAGCTGCCTATTCAAATGCATCTCAGACTGGAAAAGCATCCTTGGTTAGGCACCTGAATTTGAACTCTAAATCCAAGCCCAGAGCAGGGAACACCCTGAGGCCAGCATTAACAATTAACTTCCCTAATGCCAGGGTGACACAGCACAGGGAATTCCCAGTTCCTGTGATCCCAAAAAGCCCCTCCAGCCGGTCATTACCCTCACTACCTGCATTCATTCACACCTCCAGGAGCTGATGCTCTGCTAAAGGGGCTGTTTCTGACACATGCCATTAAGCAGCTCGCTGTACAGCTCTTCTGTTTATAGCTCAGCTTGTTTACAGAGAGAGGAAATTGAATCTTAGTCATTGCCACATGCAGATGCCATTCATAAGCTCAGATATCTGAACTAGCAATAAAAAAACCCCCACAGTCACGCAAGCCTTTACTGCACCTCAGATATTGAGCCCTATTGTTTTCAGTGATTTACACAGCTGTGGTTAAATTGGTCACCCACACCCCTCAGTCTAGCCTAACATAATAGCTTTATGTAATTCAAATTAGCTAATCTTCATAGACGACTTGCAAGTCACACTGACCAAAATCCTTCCCCCTAGTCAAAGAGAGGCCTTCATGTGACATTTAGATCCATTTTTCAAGCAAATGTATAGTGCAGCGTGAGTATCAGCTCCCAGGTTTCTGAGGACAAGGAAGCAGATGGAACCATGCACTCATCCAGTTCAACAAAATATAATCCGTGAAAACCAGACTGCAGCAAAAGCAGTGCTGTGGGTGGAAATCCAGAGCTCTTAAAATATTCTAAAGCTACAGGGAAATGAAAAGATATTTCCATAGTTAAAAACTGGAATTCTAAAGGTATCAACTTTGAGACAATCGAGACATAAGAATCTAAAAACCAGAGTGCCTTTGGTTGTTCAGACCTGGATAATCTGTAGGGTATAAATATTTTAACCATGAAAACTACCTGAGGTTCTCAGAGCATGGAGTGGCACTGGAAAACAGCTTGCTGACCCCAAGCAATTCCCAACCATGCAGCCCCTTTCCCTGCCAAAGGATCAGTATTCCCAGACATACCGTAAGCTTCATAGGTTTCCTGTGCCTCCCCGTGTCCATAATCATAGTATTCTGTGTCCCTGGAAGAGTAATGATGCTGGTTACACACGGTGCTGACATCGTGCTGCTGAACTTGCACAAACACTTGAAAAAGCAAAGGTGCCCAATATCGCTCATGAGAACTCCCAAAAGTTATTTTGCAGGTGCTTTTGGAGTCCAGCAGAACAGGGCACGTTCCCTACAGCTCAAACTCAGAAATGGGCGTTTCCATTTGCTTAAAAAGGAAACAAGATCATGCATAATCTTCTCTGCAACAGGAGACAAGCAAACTTACCCTTGGCCCTGGCTGTAGTAGCCTTCATACCCCTCATAGCTCTGGTCTGCGTATGCATCATCATAGCCCTGAAACAGAAGATGATGTAAACAGTGTTAATGGAAGGACCAGAGGTTAATGCGTGACCAGGAGTAACAGCAGAATTGAATTCGGGCTACAGAGGAGGCTGTGAGTCCCTGCCTGGCACAGGGAAGGGGCTCAGTTGTAAGATACAGGTAACTGAAATCTGCTCCTGTGCTGTGGCTTGGGAGGAATGAACCACGCTGGTATTTAGTGTGTCTCAAAGTCATTTACACGTCCAAGGCTGCAGCCTGTCCGTGGGACAAATCCACATGCCAGGAGGCTGTGACTGTGTTATCTACAACACAGATTTACAGGCAGACAAAACCCGACCTATTCACTTATGGTTGGTTTCAGTGGAAAAACAGAAGTTTAACAGAGAGGAGAAAAAGACTTCTTAGATCCATCAATATCTGCGATGATTCCCGAAAATGCCGTTATGCATCAAAAGCAGTTGTCTTGGTTTTCCTTTAGAACACCAAGATAAGCTTGGCAGGAGGGTGGTGCTTAGTTACATGACTTGAATCACCACTGTGTTCATTCACATATTGACTCTGAGGATTTCAGGGGCAGCAAGAAACCTTTGGTGTTTTTTTGTTCCAAGAATTCTCCTGCAGAAGGAGAACGTGATGTGAACGACATCGATTTACGTGATGATTTTTCTTTTATCTAACGGATGATCAGCTAGCTGGAATAAAAATAAATACATATATGCAGTTTCTTACATATTCATCATAGGTTTCTGGTGCGGGAGGAGGAGGAAGCGGTATTCTCTGGATGCCGGCTGCACGTGCTCTGGGTGCAGGAGCACCCCGTACTGCTGGGGGGGGAGGCCCCCCACGGGCGACAGCGGCTCCCCTGGCGATGGCACCTCGCACCGGGGCTCCTCGCACCAGGGCTCCCCGAGGAGGAGGAGGAGGAGGGGGAGGCCCAACACCACGTCCCCTGCAAAGGAGAGGAAAAAAAGCGGCTGAGGGAACTGGGGTTGTTTAGCCTGGAGAAAAGAAGGCTGAGGGGAGACCTCATCACCACCTCCAACTGCCTCAAGGGAGCTTGGAGAGAGGTGGGTGCTGGGCTCTTCTCCCAGGTGATGGGGGATAGAACAAGGGGAAACGGCACCAAGCTGTGCCAAGGGAGGTTCAGGTCAGAGATAAGGAGGAAGTTCTGTACTGAGAGGGTCGTCAGAAGCTGGAACAGGCTGCCCAGGGAGGTGGTGGAGTCACCATCCCTGGATGTGTTTAAGGAGCGGGTAGATGAGGTACTTAGGGATATGGTTTAGGGGGTAGACAGGAGCGGTTGGATGTGATGATCTCAGAGGGCTTTTCCAACCGAGCCATTCTGTGATTCTGTGAAAAGGATTGTGAGCAGCCACTGCATGCACTTCTTACACCTATTTTAAAATGCAATAGCTTGATAAATAAATACAGTCACTATTAACTAGGCCATGAATTCTTTTTTGAAAGCAGCAGAATTATTAATGTTGTATTGCAGGATTTACAAAAACCTCTTCTGAGATGAGAGCTTTACTGCGCTGGATGTTGTACAGAGAGATAAATCTGACACAGAACTTTGGGCAAGTAATTTCTCAGAGGTCATTTTAAATAACCCTCCATCACTGACCTGTAACGAGTGCCTGGCCTCCAGGACCGTACAGATCAGTGACGAGATGAGCAGGGGCACTTCTGGGCTAAACATCCATGAGCAGAGACTTCCCCCCATAAAATAGGTAGCGAAGCAAGAACTATAATAACAGTTTTATCACCCATTTATCCCAATGCCTTGACAACAACGACAGAATAATGCCACCCCATAATTTTCAAAGCAAGGTCAGTTTAAACCGAAAGCGCTTATTCTGCTGAAGGCTAGGGAAGCAAACGTGGCACATCCATCTGCACGGGCTTTTACAAGCCAGTTTTTGAAAGGTTACTTTATGAAGCTACTGATTTTGGACATCAAAAATAATACAGGAGACATCTGCTGTGTGAGATTCCATCCCAAAACACACAGAACATTTGATGCCACCTTGCTAAAAACAAGCCTGCAACACACGGCTAAAGAGCCTTGGCCTAAAGTCAAGGTCAAGGCCAAGAGCTGATGTGTGAGGAGGAGCAGCTTAAGCTCATCCAGCAGCACAGCCTGGAGCAAGACGCAGCGTTTCCTGGTCTGTGCTTTTGGGAAAGGTACCTTGGAACGGGTGGAGGAGGTGGTGGAGCTGCTCCCCTTCCTCGCACAGGGACTCCTCGGCCACGATTTGGCTCTGGTACGCCGTTGAGATAGGAGAGCTCCAAGAATTGCTCCTGACAGATATCATCCATCATATCCTAAAAAGGGGAAAGA